AGCTGTCTCCCAGAGGAGGCTCAAGCATGTCTGTGAGAGCGTATTGTGTCTACACAGGAATTCTACTTCTCAAAACAGGCAGAGGATAAACAAGACTAGGCATAGTAAGTGGAATTTTCCCACACTGACATGCTTAGCATTCCCAGCTGCAAATTCACTTTGAGAGAAACTATTCCCTCTTCACCAAAACTTCCAGTTTTAACCTTTCCCTCCCAACAGCATCTTCAATCCAACTCCACATATGCACTCAGATGAGACAGGGTATCTTATGTGGGAATATTTTTCCTGTACTGCACTGCCTGTTATTTTCCTTCATGGGCACCTCTGAACCTCACACTACACAACCGTAGCAGAAATCCCAGAGCCTCTGCTGAGGGTCTGTCTTAATCCTCAGCACTAGGCCATGTTTTTATTCTGTCTGCTGGCCCTCAGGTCCACTACCTCCACTGCTTTTGCTACAAACATTTACAACTGACTTAGCTGCTCCTAAATTAAGCCGCATAACCATTTCCTCCAATCCCACTGACTTTCTACTGTGTTATGACTTGTAGAAGAGGCTCCTCTAACTTTAGAAAAAGGCAGTTTCCATCATTGATTTTACAGTACCAGAGAGAACAGAAAGCCTTTATTACAGCATCAGATAGTTAATCTTTTTGATTAAGGGATGGAGTTTCTTCATCATCTGCCTCAGAAGCTCCTTTGATCCCCTGCCTGGGATAGCTGCTGTATGTTTACATACAGTTACTCTGTCCTTTCTTCCCCTGCCTCTGCTCTTCCACAGTTTAAGAGAGAATACACTTGTTTGTTACTTGATAGCCACTTGGTCAATCAGCATGGTTTCAGAGTGTTCTAGACTTCCTTGTGTGTTGTCCTCCAGGTGCTTCCCTATGAGCACGTGGTAAATGCAGATCCCATTGTCACCTGTGCCTACATCTGTGTCCACTCGTGGTGTACCTCCTGCCATTCCAGCAGTCTTACCTATGTGCTGCACCAAGAATCCAAACCAATGTCTACTTGTTCACTTCTCCATCTCTCACTGCAAATGTTCTCTCGGGCAGCTCTTTGTCAACTTTTCCTATTTAAGCATAAATTACAAAGCTGATACCTTCCAAGTGGAGGCAAATAAAGTACTTCTTAATTTTGAGTAGAAAGAACGTTCCACACACAGTCCTATAATCTCCCTTTCCATCCCAAAGATGGTAACTTCCTCCTCATTTGCACCAGGAAGATAGTTAGGAACTTCAGAGAATCTGCAAAAGTTATGGGGAAAGTGGATAAGTACTACTAAAGACTTTTCCTTGTTTGTTCACAGATTTCAGGAGGCCCTGATATATCCATTACTCAGCTCCAATGTAGGAATTCCTGGAAAGTCTGTGGCAGCTGATGTGTCAGGATCCATGGGAAATACGTTCCCCTGGCAACTAAAATATCTCACTATGTGTTCAGCTATGTCTCCCACAGCAGGGGTCAGTCTAGTAAAGCTTCCTTATGTTCTATTCATACAGCAGGGATAAGCTGGTGTTTTGTACAATCCTCATTATACACATATGAACAGTTCTGACAGCAAACTGATTTTTTTGTCCAGTTTTTACTGTTTTCTTTGGAGATTTTTTCAAAAGAAGATACAAACAGCAGCCATGAAAAACATCTGGATTACTAATTTGCCTTGAAAAGAAAGTAATATTGGCCAGAAGATAGGACATACAATTAGTATTGCAGTAATTCTCTTATATATAAAACTGATCTTGGATGATAAACGTTACACAAATTTAAACATGAAAAATGGTGTATATATATGAAATACTGCCTTCTTCTTGATGAGATGTGGTTTCCCACAATGTTTTTTTTTCCCTCTGGATGATTGTTGACTGAAATGTAAAATAGTCTGGAGCTCCTTTGTCTTTTTAGGCATCAGTTGTTCTTATTGCTGTTCCACCTACCTGAAGCTATAGGAAGGTGAACAAGCAGAATCAACTTGGGTTTTTGCAGCTTTGCTCACTGGAATCAGCCTGACCAGCAACATCCCAGCCTTGAGGAAATGCATAGGTAATTTATAAAACCAAAGAAACAACTATGCAAACATCTTTTTCCAATTTACTGGCATTATATTCTGTATCAAGAAATAACAGAAAAAAGGCCCAAGAGAACAGCCCCTTTTAAAAGAAAAAAAGCATTTTGAATTATGTATATTTGATCTACATTTAAAGACCAAACAAAAAATAAGACTTGTAGTTGCCAACATTCTTTTAACCTTCTACAGACTCTTTCCAACAAGACGAGAATGGCAATTTTTATTTGCTAAATTAACTCATTAAGAAATGCTAATTGACCTCTTTTCTGCATTCAGTTCATTTTTCAATTGGTTCTCTCTTTCTTCTGCCCATTTGCTGTAATTTATGTGTTGTCTGTGTATGTATGGGTGCAATCTTGGATATATATTAAGCTAATGTCCTGGTTATCCTGAGATACCTCAGCTAATTCCCAAAGCAAATATAAATTTAAAAAAAAAAAAAGTAAAACAGAAAAACAATGTTAAGGCAATTACCTCCAAGTGTATGTGTTGAAGCAATTAAAGGCCTCTTGCTAAGGAGGACTTTACAGTCAGCTGTGCATCTGACAATGTGTAACAATACAGTTTTACATTATAAATATGATAGGGATAAAGCTCAACACTGCGGAGGAAGAAAAATCAAACAGGAAAAAAAAATGCAAAGAGAAAACAACTTCTAAAAGTTTTAATTTTCTTTTCTTCTTTCCTTAAAAAACCTTCCAGGGGGACTGGATAGCTCAAGGGGTTGGTAATAGGATACAGAGCCTTTCATCTCTAGGTCACCAGTTCGCATCCAGGCCAGGTCAGTAGTGACCAAAAATTGTTACCATTTGATGAGTTTTCAGTGACCTCTATGAATTAAGTTGTTGGAAGCATTGTTGGAACAGTTGCTGGAAGCTGTTCTCTTTTTATCCAAGAAGATGTGTCTGATCTTTCCTTAGTCTCAGTGGTGAGACTGCATTACCTGTACATCTAAAGGTTATCAAGTGCAAGATGCACTGATGCATTTTGTAGAAATCTTTTTTTCTACAACTATTATCAATTATCAATAATTGTTGTAACAGTTATTGTTGCTGTTAGTATTCTGCTGCCTGTTCTGGATCTGTGCTGTGGTTCAATGGACCAGGGTTGTTGTAAAGGTAACTGCTACAAGCACTCAGTTTTTGCAAAACCATTATTTGTGTGAGCAGAGGTAACCTTAATTCATTTGAGTTGCAGAACTAAATCCCCATCTTTCTTTCTTGACATCTTTATTTTCAGGTTTTTCATCAAGACTATACAGAGGAATTCAATCAGTGTAACACATCTGGAACATTTTTATGAGTGGGGGGAAAAAAAGGCAAACACTAGCTGGCCTAGAATTCAAAGCAGCAATAGCCTAATGCAGTGTCATAGATCAGGTCAGACTTGGAACAAATTTCAGAATTTCTAATTCCATTTCTAATTTTCATGTTGTTCTCAATTCCATGAAGCTAAATAGCAACAGATTTATTACTGGGATCTTTTTATCACCAAAAATACACGCAATATAAAAAAATAAAATTAAAAAGTGCTAAATTTAAAAAATAAAATTGTGGTTTTATAGAAGATAAGGATTATTCTGCTACAGAAAGGTCCCATTTCTACTGTCTGGCAATGGAGGAGACCGTTCTAATTGAAAAGAAAATATGCCCCAAAAACAACATTTCTACCTAAGATGTCTAAACAGGTCCTAATTGCTGGCCATAACACTTGGGAGGAAGAGGGGAGGAGGGTGCTGAGTGACAAATAACACAAACACAATATTCCTCTTCCAAAGGCCTTCTAGAGGCTGTGAAATACTGGTAGTGAGACTGAGCAGTTCTGAGCTTGCTCACAACTATGTTGGTAGTGGGGAGAATGTGTCTATATTGCAGGAAACAGAGATGGACTAAGACAACTTAATGTACTCCAATATCCATGCCAATCCTTTCCTGCCTCGCTGCAGGACTTAGATTACTGAAAGTCAGAACCCTACTTCATATTTTATTTTACCTTCCTACCAGGTCCCAAAAGTTTATCAAAGAAAAAATGTAAACGTTTAAATAAAATATAACTTGTAAATGAGAAGCTGGAATACTTAAGGAAAAATAATTGCTCATCACAAAAGTTTTGCTAGGTCTGACAGACACATGTGATTAATTTCTGTATATATCAGAAAAATGCACCTTTTATCTGAATAAGATATATTGACATCTTGTCTGCAAATATCTGAGAAGGTAACCCCCCAAAAGTAATTCAAAATGCAAAATCAGAAGTCCTAAATATATCCTTTTCTAGATACATGAAGGGTATTGCTAACTTAATTAATGAAACAACAAGACTGGAGCTTGAAATAAATTATGTTGATTCAAGTAGACACATATTGCAAACCTGTCTTGCTTTCGTATACAAAGAAATTAATCTTTGTTATAATCTTGCATGGAACAATAAGGCAATAAAGTTATGTCTTTAATTCGCGCATAATTCTTTTATGTAGAGCTTAGTTTCTAGATTCATGGCATTTGTATTTTCAGCTTAAATTTCAAAACTATGTTGATCAAATCTACAGGTTGCCATTTTGCTTTAAACATTGTTTAAGCTATAATTTCATTCATTTTTAGAATTTTATTATGTCTACATTTTTCATTTAGCACGTTTGGTTTTTTTTTTTATCTAGAACAAGTCAGTGTCAGGCATCATTGTACTACTGCCAAGTCTTCTCTTTTGTTTTTCTATTAATTATTTTCATTATCTCCCTTATTTTCTTTTCATTACATGTACTAATGTTAATAATTTAAAGGAATGATGCAATGCTACAGTTATTAATGTACTGCTTTAAAATTTATAATAGTTTCTGAATTTATTGAGGAATGGTGAAACAGTATACAAAAATGTATTGCTGTAAATATGCTTATACTCTTTTCTCTTTCCCCCTGTATTTGTGTACTAGGTGGTTGTGAATGCCCTTTTAGGAGCAATTCCATCCATCATGAACGTGCTTCTCGTTTGTCTTATATTCTGGCTAATTTTCAGCATCATGGGAGTAAATCTGTTTGCTGGGAAGTTCTACTACTGTGTTAACACCACAACTGATGAAAGGTTTGAAGTCGACCAAATCAACAATTTTAGTCAGTGCGAGGAGCTCATAAAAAACAATCAAAGTGCCCGATGGAAAAACGTGAAAGTAAACTTTGATAATGTAGGATTTGGGTATCTTTCTTTACTTCAAGTAGTAAGTGATCACTCTTTATATACCTTTTCCTGTTTATATCCAGTAGTGAAAAGCAATTCTAGCAACAAAGAGACAAAACATTTACCTGATGACTTTTATCTGTGACTTAGTAGTCCTGCTACATGGGTAACTGATTACTCTTTTCATCATAAGCAGCAAGTAGAGTCTGCTATGATGAATAAAGAATCTTTAGGACATCTAATGACACAATTTCCTATTTATGGCTCCCTTAGTCCTTTATCCACTTCTAACTTTTAAATTAGAATTACCTGGGAATGGTATTCAGGTATCTAAATATTTTAAGTTTTCCAGTTGCTGAAAAAAAAATCTCCATTGGTGTGATAAAGTCACAAAGAATTCCGGGTAATAAATCTCATCTCAGGTTTGTGGCTGCCGCCAGGGCAGATCTAATCTAAAAAGCAATTTCTCATTTAGAAGAGAAATAAGAAAAGAAAAATAGCATTTGATACTATAATCTTTGAAATATTTTCCTGATACTTCTGTGAAAAAAGGAACTCAGAGTTTTTTAGCAAAATCTGAGGGAAGAAAGAAAATGTATGCAGAGAGATACTAGAAGATTACACCTACAATATCAAAAATGGTGTCACAACACTGTCTATCTTTGTATTTTGAAGCAGCTACCAATCTGACCCAGCTTTAATCAAGACAATGCTGGACTTTTACCTATGTTGTGTACCTTCAGCAACTTCTTTTTTTTTTTTTTTTTTTTTTTTTTTTTTTTTTTTGGTTTATTTGAGGTTACTATCTAAATCTGCAGTATCTTATGCTTCATTTTTATTGCTTTTACATAAGTTCCCAGATTTTCTGGGATTTACTAATCTCAGTAAACCAATACTGGGATACAAAATCTCAGTAAACCAAATCATTAACATGATGCAGTGTTATGGACATTGTCCTGCACAAGGTCTAAAACAATAGTTCTGAGCAATGTGAACTGCCTCTCCCAGCTAATACAGCATCTTACCTGTGTGACTGATAAGTCTGTACATTTAAATTTCATTATGATTCCTCACTTTACTGTCACATCAGGAAAGAGTGGAGAGGGACCAATAGTATTAAAGAAATAAAACACTGAACTGAATACAATTTCATTTTGGTAACTAAAGACTTTAAGTACTTACTTTCTTTGCCTTATTTATGAAGTCTACTCACCCAGGGAGTCAGAATGCTTCATTACAGGTGTTTAGGAGAAACAAGACATCAACAGAACTCTTTCCAAGTAGTTTGCAACTCTCTTTCTAGTAGTAACCTATTCTACTCTGGGACACAAGTCATTATTCCAGGTTCATTTCTTTCCTGGCTTTGTGGCTGCAATCACAAAGCTACTTGCTATTTCAGTATCCTGGCTATGCATAGATTATTTCATCTTCTATTTATTGAAAAGACACAAATATTTCCTTACATGAAGACTTAGATTCTTAAATTATTGGATTTTTCGGGAGGCAAATTAAGAGAAATTTGCCATTGATTCCCACAATTCCAAAGGAAAAATTCATCTACATCCACCACAGAGGGACCTTGTTCTCATGCAGAATGAGCCTGTTTGTTTGTGCAGTATCTACAATGTAGAGAACTTACAAGAACATGAGACTCTTATGTAATGATGGAGGATTTTTTTTTGTGTGAGTAGAATGTTCACAACAGCACTTAATTTTTCTATATTGCTAAAATGTTTGTGAAATCAAGACTTTTTTGTTTGACATAGCAGAAAAAACAGGGGCATTTCTGTCATTGAACAAAATATCATCCCTGCATCTTTTAGGGTTTGGTAAGTAGCCAGTAGTAGTGATTTTGCAGTTATGGAATTATAAGAGCCCTAGGACTGAGAAAGAATAATATCAGCTTGATTTTCAGTTATTGCATCAAAATGTAGAGAGTCTTATGTTTTTTCACCTTCAAGAAAACAAGGCCACAATTCATAGCTGTTTGAGATTCTTACATTGCTTTCTCAATCAAAAAAGACTGATACGGTGATTTTCTATTTGATATATAAAGTACTTTGGATCAAACTCTAGAACAGGACTCCAAAGCCATCATGTCAAAACAAACATGAGACTTGAATAGGTATGTCATAGCTCTAGATTTTCCTACCCTTCCTAAACAGCTTGCAGCAATAGCAAGAAGACTAAATGCTCAAATATGACTCAGTTAGAGGTACACATTACTGTGTCAGAAACAAAGATAAAGCTATTGAAAGTTAGCAGTTGGCCTAAAATTATATACTGAGCCTGAAAAATCTGATTATAAAACAATGGTTGCAAGTGGATATGCTTTCTGTTTGCCCTAAGTGAACATTAATGGCCTTTCTACTGACTTCATTTGGTTCTGCACCTCAACAACCTCGGGCACAGACTTTTACTAGCGCTGGACCTGAGAAAATAACCCCTGGGAGATCAATGTCATTTTTCTAAAAACAGTTTCTGTGAAGAGTATCAATGCATGAATTACTGATACAAGGCCAGGAGGCCAGAAAGTAAATACAGAAAGCTTCCTCTTATGCCCCATTATCTCCGTTCTGCCCTCTGGCTCATGCCCTCTGAGTCAGCCAAAGAACGCTGTAAATCCCTTCAGCTTTTCTGCGTTACAAGAACCATAACCTTACTGTCTGTATCACTAATTGGAGTGAATAATAATGGAAGTTAGAACCATTTTTATGACAAAAAATCAAAATGAAAACAAGCCAAAAGAACTTCAAACCACGGCATTGAGGGCTTCATTATTCTGGGAAAGACATAAATGAGATCTGTGAAAAACTTTTTTTTTAATGTCTCCAGCAGTATATGGGTCTGTTCATCACAGAAAACTCTTCTTTTTTTAAGAGTGATATGGAAAAGAACATATATATTTCACACAAAAGCACTCAAAAGCAGGGAGATAATTTCAGAAAGAAGTATTCTGGGCTCAAAAAATGCTAGTGACTTTAAGAAAAAGGAACTCTCTAACAAGCTCTTTCTTGAGTTTACTTGCAGTGCTGGTGAATGACTTTCTTGAATGAGGGGCCTATGAAAAGAACATTACCTAATTTTTAGTTGACATTTCCTGTTTTTTTTTTTCTGTTATGGGAGGCATTTTTTTGTGGAAAATCTTTAGTATTATAGTAATGTTACAATTCTTTCTGCCCAAAAATACAGCCTAACAATACATGTCATTGATAAAACTGAGTTTATGGACTTTGTTGATCAAACTGTTTTGCAGAACTCTTACATAATTTGAAGTTGGAGTATCATTATTCATGCCATCAGTCATATAAGTACACATTTCTTCTATAAGAATCTTTTTCTTCTATAATATAGTATAGATCATACGGTTTTATGTGGATCTTCAAGTTTCTTTTTTTCATTTCTTGGTCTGAACTTGCTTGAGTATTTCTCTGTCCCTAAAGAGAAGCATCTAAGCAGAGACAGATCTGCTGGAGAAATTCATTTCACAATTGTCATGCACCAGTGAGTGAAGAGGAAGAGGTTGGTGTACACAAAGAGATGTGGCATCTGCCTTGATAATTTTATGGCCTTATGCCTTTTAACTTGAACCTAGTATTTGGATTCCTTGGTAAGTAAATCTCCTAGAGGCCTGCTTTTATCCTGCTCACCAGGATAAAATGTGGCAAACCAATGGGTCACAAAGCACAATATTATACTCTACTGTTACTAATGCCAGTAAGACAACACATCTCTTGAAGTGCATGGTAAAAAAATCAAAAGCTGAATTCTAAGGCTAAAACTTTAGGGTACTTTCAAAGTTCCAACAGGTTAGTATTTTAAAAACAAGAAGCTATTGTATCTCCAAAAGGGAATGTGAATCTTTGTGGTGATTTTTTCTGGTAAAGAAATTGAGTGGTAAAACTCCAGCATGACTTACAGCTTCATTAGAAATTATTTATCAAGGGGAAAAAAATCTATGATTTTTTACCTGTAGTAAAGGAGATGGGGGACTTTTGTTCTGTTCTTTTTTATAACTACATTTGGATCTGCATTTGAATGTGTGTCATTAAAATCTCCTTGGCAGAAAAAAAAAAAAAACAACCCACCTTTGGAACAGATGCTGACTTCAGTTATACTGCTGTAATCTTTGAAATCAATTAATTACTCCTGATTTAATGTCATTGAGGATATACAATATATTTTATATGGTAATATGCAAAATGGAAACTAATAATTTGATCTCTTGGTCATTTTCTGTGTTATTTTCTTTCAGGATACAAAAATACACAAACAATACCTTATTTCTCTTAAAGAGATATCATTGCAGATAAATATAAGCAGGTCTATGCATCTATAGTAGAAATAAGGCTTTCACTGAATGGGATATCTTGACTCTCTTAATTTCTTCAAAATTTTTAATATCTTAGAGTTTTATGAACCTCATTGTGGAAATCACAAAACAGCAATATGTTATATTTCTATTTTTCCACCCCCACACTCTTTTCAAGTTTCCTTTTTAACAACAACAACAAAAACAATAATAATAATACAGCTCAGTTCTTCAGCTCTATTTCCTATCACTAGTTAATGGATACTGTTTGTTTATAGTGCAGTACTTTAGTGATGATGGTGAAGCTTAATATTTTAAAATTAGTCTATCTTTTTTCATTGACTCTACTTAGTCTAGGCTACACCAATACATTTGCAAAAAACCCAATAATTATTCTGTTTTGCCTGGAGGATGATATGCAAAGATCATCATGAGTCTTGTTGATCTTGTTGAACATCATAAATCTGAGGCAACAGCAGACATTTTGCACAAGTGCCACCCCATCATTCACATCATCTTTCTGAAGTAAAAGTGTGCCCATTATTATCCCATGGTGTTTCATACTGAAGTGCTCATTTCAAGTCATGATATTCCAAAAAATGCAAATAGTGTACCAAGATAGAAACAAAAGCAGCACTGTAAGACATGGTGTAATAATCTTGCCCTATTTAGACGTCGTTAGATGAAATACTGAATCCTATTTTGGTTGCCATTGCAAGAGATGAACCAGTGTAATAGAGCTCAGAGGAAAATAAAGAGAGTGATCAGAGTTCTGGAAAACAAGAGTTGCATGGGAAGATTGAAGGAACAGTGATCACTACCTAAAAAAGAAAGACAGCAACAATCAATTTGCAAAAAGTAAGAGATGCTGCATGAAGGTGATTCCTGCAGTTCTCCAGATATGCAATGGCTATGACAAGTGAGTCTTAAATGGCAACAGAAGGATGTAAGCATTAGGAAATAATAAAAGGACGTGCCAGAATACATAATTTTATAAGGTTGTTGTGTATTCACCATTAAAAGCCTTTGAGAACAAGTTAAGCATATGTTAGTAATTACATAAGTACACTTTATCTACCTCTCCTAATCCCTTGCAGTCCAAGTATTCCGCGAGGATTTTAAATTCTTCAGCTGACTGCTACTTGTTTCAGATTTATTCTTGATTTATTGTTCCTCTGATACTCTTTTTGATTTCACCATCATACTGTTAGTTACCTCAGCTTTATATTTCCTGTGTTTACCCCAAAAAGTGAAAGTTGCTGCACATTGGATTCACATCTAAGGATCATCATACTCTTTTCAGTATTCCACTGTTCCAACAGTGTAAAGGACTTTTCCTTTAAAAAAATAATTTATTCTTATTTTAAGTTCACTTCAGGATGATGCCAAATTGCTCTGTGTCCTGCATAAAAAAAAAAAAAAGGTTTTTGAAACTTCCACTAGAAATGCAACCTGAAGAAGATGGTGATACTGTAAAAAACATGGATGAAGAGTGTTCCATTTCTGATTCTATCCTGCAACTGTCTCTGTGGCAAGGAAAATGAAGGAACCAATGATCTGCAGTCTTGTTTTGCAAAATTGTAATGAGGATTAAACAACATAGAATTATTTCCTTTTTTTTGCTCTATTTTTGGGCACAACTGGATTAAAAACGAAGTGATTTCTACTTGGAGATGTTGCCTAGTTAAAAGAGAACTAATTGCCACAACAGAGTAAATTACTTTCTGTTTTGAACATTCTGATGAAGCAATCTACACCTCACTGTCAAATATAAAAATGTACAGATTTTGGGCAGAGGAAATACCTCCAAAATTTCAATAAATGCTATCATTTATGAGGCATATTAAATATTCAATGCACATGAAACACTTCCTACTACTTTGTCTCTTAATGTATGTGACATCTAGGCTCTGTAAAGCACAATATATTATATTTAAAGTGAACACAGAATTACTAAACCAGGTAAAATCTTTTAATGTATATTCCAATTATAGGAAAATACCTTTTTATAGATGATCAAATTTTTCGTTCCATTTTGTTGCCACCTTTCTGACTTGGGATGGAGGAGCTACATATTAGTCCTAATTGGTGGCAACTCAGGTACATAAGGCTATACAGCCAGCTGTACATAGCTCTTGCACTTGACATGATTTGATGAACTAAAATGCCTTCTATAATTTTTGTTAATTAGAAATAAGTTAATCATACTTACTGTTTAAAATGTTCCTATCTAATACAAAGTAACGGGATACACAGCAGTATATCCGATGAGCAGCTGAATGGAGAGCCAAGAGGCAAAACACTTTGGAAATCTAATGCTATTAATTATTCCTGGTGCTGTACTGAGTTACTGGAAATTATTAAATGAATTGTCTTTAGAATGCTTAAACAGGTGTGTACTGTTTACAGGCTACATTTAAAGGCTGGATGGATATTATGTATGCAGCTATTGACTCAAGAGATGTAAGTACTGCAAATATTTTAAATTATCTTTTTTTTTCCTGAGGTCTGTCTATCTACAAGTGTGTATTTATCCTAAATATGCAATTATATCCATACAATAGAATGAAAAATGAGTATGAGATTCTGTGGTAACAAAATGTGGGCAACTGAATGCAAACTGCCAGATGCTATCAGCAAGAGGCAGAATATAAAAAATATATTGATATAAGTGATAGGAATATTGTCCAAATACAAAATATTGGTGGCACTTTGTGCAAGGTTGCCACTTGTTTGGTTTAAATTTTCGCATGAAGTCTTAGGAATCATATTTCTCTTTTTTTTCCCCTTAGGTGTTACAGCAACCCAAGTATGAAGACAATTTGTATATGTACTTATATTTTGTCATCTTTATAATTTTTGGGTCTTTTTTCACCCTGAATTTGTTCATTGGTGTCATTATTGACAACTTCAATCAGCAAAAAAAGAAGATAAGTATTGTTTCATTTCTCTTCTAAAGATATTCTAAAATAATGAATTTTTGTAAGTGCATGATATATGGAAAGTACACCCATGACTTGCTCAAAATTGAAAAAGCTGCAGTGTGTTATAACAAAATCATATCTGCAGTATTCATTGAAGTCATAAGATTTTTCATGTAGTAAATGGGACAGATCCTTCTTTTGTCAATTCCCAGTTTAGTCTTCCTCAAGTTATCTGCTTTTTCATGAAGTTTCACTAAACTTCATGAAGTCTCCCTGTATGATCCAACCCCTTAATTACATCCCCACATTAAAGCACTCATAATTTCTTGGGGTTTTTCCCTTCTTGATTTTAAGTTATTCTATGATCACACCAAAAAATAGCTAGCTGGTTATGAAATACAAAAAATCATTTCATCATGCAATTAAAGATGATGTTTTAATGATCCCAAGTATTCAAGTTCTATTTTGTGGCACTGAACAATCTGAAACTGTATAGAGCAGGAGTGGTTTGTAACTATTTCAGGACCTTTTTTATTGTTTCACAGTGCAGATGTAGATAATCTCACTGGTATAGATGGTCTGAGTAGGAGATGCTCACCTTTAAAATTATTTTCTGTAAATAGATAAAGCAATGAAAGTTCAAGGATCAAAACAACTATGAGCTACTGTTTTATTTTTACTTTGCTGGACTGCATCAATTTCTTTGGGTTTATGTTAATAATGAGAAATACTAAGCAAGATTTTTGGATGTTGTACATGTAGAAATGTGGAGGTACATGGTCAGGGAGCCTGTCCAGCTTATGGTCCTTGCATTCCCACATCTTCAGGCTTCCCACACAGTCATCCACAAAGGGCTGCATCCAGTCCTATGTGTGCATTGGCATTCCTGGAATTAGATGCCTGTGAGTATCTCTTATCTAGGAAAAAATTTCTTCAAGGGGTATGGGAAGTGTCATAGTTTTTTATTCAGGCTGTCTCTTACACAAGGTTACTATGGATTTTGATTAGAAATATGAAAGACCCATAATTCCTTCTTTATCTTTAGTCAGACTTCAAAGGCAGGTTCATGCTTTTGCTAAATACTTCACTGAATACAGAACTAATCAAAATAAAAGATTTTAAAGAGAACATTTTGCTGTTAATAGTACCAAGGGTGCTTCAATCTTCAGCAGTTTCTCCAAAGTCTGATAATCCATCTTCTCAAGAACCTTGAAGACTTTGGGCCCCAATGCTAATGTGATTGCTAACTAATGTGACTGCTAAACTAGAGATACCTAAAGTACATTTCTGTACTGAAGGCCTGACTTTGTCTTTTTCCTTTGTTGTACTAAAATCACAGTTCAGAAGTGACAGTATTGATCAGCCCAGACTATCTGAATTTATCTCAAATCCTCTTTACTGTATCTCTTACTATAAAAGAAAAGAGGTAAGAGAAAGGATATCTTGGAGTTCCAGGAAAAGAACTGTAAAAAGATGTTGGTTGCATTTTTTTTTTTTTTTTGAGAGAGAGATACAGTACTGGATGTCCAGATTTCTAGAAAAAATACTTAAAATGTAGACAGATCCAGTTGATAGCTAAGAGATTTTTCCCAATTTAGTCTTCTTGATTTTTGAATCACTCAGTTTTTTCAGCACTGCATATAAATGTGATTATAACCAGTTCTGATTTCATGTTTTTACTTTGGAGGTCAAGACATATTCATGACAGAAGAGCAGAAGAAATACTACAATGCAATGAAAAAGCTGGGATCCAAAAAACCACAAAAACCCATACCAAGACCAGGGGTAACATTATTTATACACATCAGACAAATAACTATTTACAAAGAGTTTTTATTGATACAGGGAGTGCAGAAAGTTATCAGTAACTGGGGCATTAGTCAGCAGAAATGGAAAACAAAAATAAAAGAAAAAATATTTTTCACTTACAACTATTTTATATATTGATATGCAACAAAGGAGGCTGAACTAAGTTATTGTATTTGAGTACTCAATTAGCAACTAGTGTACACTAGTTACAATTTTATTGAAGTCTCATAAGGCTTACTGCATGTGTTTTTCTACTTTCTTCTACCAGGAAATGTAAATAAATTACAGTTTGTATTGGATGTTTCTTCTCTCTTTCTTCCTCAGAATAAATTCCAAGGAATGGTCTTTGATTTTGTGACACAGCAAGTATTTGATATCAGCATCATGATTCTTATTTGTCTCAACATGGTTACCATGATGGTAGAAACAGATGACCAGAGCAAAGAAATGGAAAATATTTTATACTGGATTAACCTGGTGTTCATTGTCCTTTTCACTGGAGAATGTGTCCTGAAATTAATTTCACTTCGCCATTACTACTTCACTATAGGCTGGAACATTTTTGATTTTGTGGTTGTCATTCTCTCTATAGTAGGTAAGTCTTGTTAATTAAACTTAAAGGAAGGTAAAATGAATAGGAGGTAAACTTTTACTTGAATAGAGCTGTATGGTGAGCTTTTACCACCACGAGATTTACTGCCAAGTCATTCAGCTTTACATTTTAATTCGTAATTTAGCTAAAACAACCATCAAAATTGTTATAATCATCCAACACTTACTGCACCTGCAAATATTACATATAACTGCTGTAACAGAAATTATGCCAGTGTAATCTACAGAATATCTTCAATTGCTACATAAAATTGCCAGTTTTAAAACTGTGTTTCTAAATTTCTATTGTGATACAAAGATTAAGTGATAATGTAATTTTTACAAATATACTGTACATTAAAGGTCAGTGCCTATTAAAAGACAGTGACCCCTTGTCAGTGACTGTGACTGTGATAAGAAGAAACAACCTTGACAGGAGGTTACTGTTCTCACTACCAGCTGACACTGCTGAAGAGGAGAGAAAAATGGCTACACAGACTGTAGGGACCAGTTAAAGGGGTGTGAAACCAAGTATTTGTGTGTTTAGCATAAAACAATACAGTAACTCTATCCACTGTTTGCATTTCAACTGCCACATACTTCATATTTTTACAAAATCTGTGTTGGTGGATTCATCTTGTTTTTATTCATATGTTGTTTATTATATGTGACTATTTTTGTAAATGGGGCTTCTGTTGGGGAAGGGAATTAAGTACACCTTTACAGGTACAAGGGCCAGGTGTTCTATTATACAACTAATATACACACAGAAATTATTTGCATGAAGGCATGCTGTAATTATAGATCATGCATGAAAATAACATTAAGTCACAAAGAACAAGAGGTTTTTTTTAGCACAACGTTTCTGGAAAGGAATAACAGATTTTGAGGTGCTTAATTAATGTATTCATGTTGTATCATGTTCAAACAAGTCTTAGTATGCCTGTAAAGTCCTCTACAACTCACAAGAACAGTAAATATGGTTTACTTTTTGCACAGACCATTAAGTTTCAGAAGGTGCAAACTTCTCCCTAGGTCTGGAGTCACAGATTTTGTCTTTGTCAAATGTCTTTCTGCATACGAATACTAAATGAATCTGCCTCAGCCCACCAAATTGATCAAAAAGAGCCCTCTATAAAGTTGTTCTGCTTTATCCTGCAGTATTGTTTAGCCATCTTCAGCTCTCAGTAAGGTTGATGTTGTACACGTTAATGAAAAGCCCTCTGCTATGTAAATAATTTTTAACCTGTGGTGCATGTTTGAGCAAACAGATAATGACTTTAGCACATTTATTGCATCAAATATGTACCACAATAAGTGTAGTGTGCAAGCATTCAACAGGTAAAATTATGTATTATCTACCATTATAGATAGTTTGGATGCAATCAGTGCATGTTTATATTGCCTATGCTGCTATTCCTTTGACTGTCCAGGATTCTTAAACATGGGAAGCCATACATCAGAGCTAAATGAAATAAATTACTCAAAAAGACCTCATTCCTCCATACCATTAAGCAATATTTTGCAGCTATTTAGGAGCTTATTTGTTTTACATTTCTGAATTTTCAGTGAAAAGCATATAGTGTATATCCAAACTGTACAGATGTTGAAAACTACTAAACCTGTTGAAAATAATGTTAGGATTTTATAAGCAAATATAAATACTGTAAAAATCATTTTATTTTATTTTTCAGCATTATGTACATAAAACAAGAACTGGATTTTATCTTCAGGTTGATGTCACAGCATTTTTGTTACTTTCAGTCCATAGCACTTTTTCACAGAAGAACTCCAGAGAACAAGATACAACTAAATGAATGGATAACTGTAGGATCTTATTTTTTACAGTATTTGCCAACATATAAATAATTTCTGCGAAATAAGTTCATAATTTGCTTCTAAAAAGCTAAGGTTTTTTGTTTTTTTTATTTCTGCAGATGGGAAAATGGTCTAAAGTTCAAATTGAATGTCTAAGCAGTGCCTGCATCATCAGTTTTCAGATACAACCTTTCTTTCAGAGAATCCTGAATCTTTTCTCATGTTTACTCACAGATTTTTTTTTCAATCATGCTGCACTAGAACAGTTCTAAATATTATCTAGGGTCCACGATATTTTTTCACAAAGAGAAAGTAGCAAAATTGAATAAGCCAATCCATCAGGACATTTTATGTTTCTTACACAGGAAAATTAAATATAGATTACTTTTATTAAAATTATTGACTAAATCTGTATTAGTAAACTGCATGCAGAAAAATGCTATTACCCTAACTGATGCTAAAGAACATTATTAATGCGTCAAAATAATAAAGATTACATTTTTTATTGTACGTTCCTTTTGTGTTTATTATCTGACTAATATAAAGAAGGGTATGCTTTTAAACCACAGAATGAGAGGATACTGAAAACCTCTACAGCAGCTATACTGTTCTTCCACTTAAGAAAATCCTTGGGATTTGCTTGTTAGTCACTAATTAGGAATTTCTCACTTGATGTGTGTTACACAGTGAGCATGACGCTTCTGCATGTATCAGGAGTTCTGCCCCGAGCGACTTCATGCAGCAGCCCCATGCAGGGGGTGCACAGCCATCGAACACCAGAGCTGCCCTGAGTGTGTCCCAGGAGGCTCAGAGCAGTCACAGCAATGAGAACTGAGCATTCAAGGGTTTACAAAGACAAAATGAGGGCAGAAAATAGCACTAGATCCATGACATTCCCCAGCTTGGGTTGAGAGCCAGTTAATTCTTGCTGGGTGCTGCTCACAAATAGGCTACAGAGCATCTCACATGTGAGTGCATGTCTGAAAAAGGTGAAATGGTGCTGGAATAAATAAGTCATTGGTTTTTTCCTCAAGAATTTTTCAAAATCTCTCTGAAAGCACCCCATTCCTAGAAGCAACCATTTGTGGATACCAATAGGGGAAAAAAACAAATGCATCTGGAAAGTGGGCCTGTTCCTTATTCTTTATCAACAGTGAATTTCCAAAAGTATTAATTTTACATGTTTACATAATTTTATATTGCATTTCCCTAAACTTACAATGAAAACAATCATAGGTGAATACTGAAACCAGCTGATGAGCAGCTGTAGTCTGTAAGCTTGCTTAGTGGCTAATTGAGAAATAAAATTTCATAGCATTGTCCCTGAAATTCATCTACAATTTTTCAAGAGAGGGAAATTTTTCTCTGTAAAATTATTGTGAAATACATTATGAACAAAGAGGTCTACAATTTGATTCAAAATGCCTCGTATCAAAATGAAAAGATAAGTATTTTCAGATCAATATGTGGACAGAATATGTCTTCAATGGTTACCTTAAAAAGTATGTAAAAAACCCCAACTTATTTCTCATACCTCCAATAGTTTTTAAATTTTACAGAAGCCTCAATGTTGCTTCAGAACAAGACAAGCAGAACATAAACACAGCAGGAAAAGCAGAGGATTGTCTTGGCCAACAAGGAAACCCAAGAATGCTTATTGCACAGTGCTTCTGTGGCACCTTCCTGATGCTGGGATGAGAACTTGTGACAAAGGAGCTGCACGTGTAATGGACTAGGAAAGGTCACTTTGGGCACTCTCTGCAAGAAGAGCCAAGCAGCTTCTCCTACAAACTCCATGCAGGTTGGGTTCTCCTCCTTGTCTTTGGTGGCATCACTGCTGGCTTTCCCGGTGGACAGACTGTGCTCCCATTCCAAAGGAATGCTCTTTAGCAACCTTTGTTTCTGGTGTCTAGAAGGTATGGCTGAAGGTGCTTTCACCTCCATAGGAAAACCCTAATTTTACTAGTCTTTGCTACTCTAATTCTCCAGGAGGAAAGAAGGAGAGCGGAAAACTGAAATTCCTCTATCTGATTTGACCCTATTGCTACTGAATTTCAAAGAGAAGTGCCACATAACTGGAAGTTCTCAGTTACATTATGAAACGTATGGAATGTGAGCCACTTAGTCGTAAATTCAGCCAAGAAAAGCAAGGAAACAAACACATTCCCAAAGCTTCCATGGGCCATCCCGGCGGCGAGCGCTCCCGACATACGGCCGGCTGCCCGCCGGCAGGGGGCGCCAAAGCAGCGGCAGCCAGCCGCCCGCCCGCTCCCTCGGGCTCGGCCCGCGGGTCCCGCCCGCCGCCTTCCAGGAGTTTCTCTTCCCGTGTCTCTCCCGCCTCCTTCCCGCCCGAGCCAATGGCAGGGCGCCGTCCTCACCCTTCCGGAGCCCCCCCGCAGTGGCGTCGGGTAGCGACGATGGACGCCGAGGTGCAGCAGGTGGGCTCTACCGCCGTCGCGTCCCGGCGGAGGGAGGGAGCGGCTGGGAAGGAGGGAGGGATGGGAGCGGCCGGGGCGGCGGCCGGCCAGGCTGGGGCGGAGCGGGACGGGGCGGTGGGCGCGGTGTCCCCGGGGCCGTCCCGGGGCGCAGCGTTGGCACCGGTGACCCGCGGCCGCTTCCCCGCAGGCGCTGCTCAATTACTACTGCCAGGAGGGGCTCTTCCAGCACGCCCGGGCCGCGGCGGACGAGGCGCTGGCGCGGCTGGGCGCGGAGCCCGTGCTGCTCTTCTACCGGGCCTACGGCGCGCTGAGGGCAGGTAACGGGCGGGGCCGCTCCTCCCCGAGCGCCGGGCTTCCCTGCCTCGCCTCCCGGAGCTCAGCCCTTAGGCCGCTGCGCAGGGAGGAGCGGTGCTGGGGAGCCTGGATGTGCTCCGTGTTGAGTGCATTACCCGTGTGGTATCGTCCGTCACCGCTCCTCCCCGGTGTGAGTGAAAGTGAGCTAGGATAGCTCCTACCAAAGTGAGAAATAGCAAGTGTTTTTCGTGGTTTCACGACCATGGGTCTGGTGAATGGGTTCCTTGGAGGGAATTTGAGCCCTGCCCAAACGCATGTTGCATTTGATGGGAAACTCACTAGTGCCTCCCAGCTAACAGCTCTTCCCTTCAAAGCAGCTGTGTTAGTTTTGTTGAATCCTCTCTCTCAGGGAAACTGACATCTAATATCTAGTGGGGGGATCTTTGTGTAAATTACACTGTTCTGAGAGGTTTATTTAGCAGCATGTATATTCCAGGGATGTCAGAAATATTAACAAGTAACCCAACAAGGGGAGGGCTGAGACAAGTCTAGGAAGGTGTGCTGGTTTTGAGAGAGTGTGTCTATTCCCAAACTCCCAGATGTTCTTATGTAAGAATCCTGTCGTTTTTCAAGATACTGGCTATTTTGCTAATATTTAAAATATTCACACAAATAAGGCAAAAACACTGTTTATATAAAGAAACAGGAGCAAAAAGAGCTGCTCAATGCCCTGTATAAAACAATAAATATGATTTTTCAGCTTTCTGACAGTTGGCAGAATTAGCACATAATTCAAGTCCTTTGCATTGAGATGCTAATTTCTTTCCTGTGTCTGTTTGAAAGACTTGCACCAACAAATGAAAGTGGGTATATGCATAAGGAACAAAAGCACAGAAGAAAAAATATAAGGGAAAATTTAAGTCAGATTGAAGTTTGATGTTTATATTCTTTGTCTTGAAAAGTGT